ACTGTCCACACCCAACCACACCTCACCTCACAGTAAATGATCATTTCCATTTCAAGCATTTCCAAATAATCGTTTCCCATACTGCCACCAAAAATATACACAGTATATTGCATCACTACAATATACATGTGTTACACACTCCTTTTGTTGTTTACATTTACAGGCTGTGTGCATAATGCCACACTCTTCAAATTGGGGTGGGGTGAACCAATTGGATGAAAAGCTTCAGTGCTTCATGGGGCTTCATCTGCCCATCACTAGCAGCTACGACGCACTAGCCTCTGATGTCATCCCAGCTGTGACTGTGCTAGTGAGACTTCTAAACAGAGAAACAGACGAACAAATTTTTTTAAATTAAATTTTGTTTTTTTTATAATTATTTATTCTGTAATATGTTGCATACAAGATGCTTTTCATTTTAAATAAATGTTCTTAATTCCAAACTAGTCCCTTGTTTGTTTGTTTTTTGTTAAATTATAGGACTAAAGCTGTTACCTGCAAATTTAAATCATGTTTTTATTAAGTACTCGGTATCGGTATCATCAAGTACTGAAATGCAAGTACGCGTACTTGTACTCGTACTCGTTTCCAAAAAAGTGGTATGGGTGCATCCCTACAATTAACCATTCCTTTAAATACTTTAATATGTAGTACACAACAACATATTACTGCATACCAACCAGGACAATTTTTTTTCTAAAATAACGCTTACATCCCACATGTTCTTCCAGCCACTGGCTTTGCCATTTAGCAGCGCCTCTGGATGAGCCAAGCCAGCGTTGTTGATGCACACGTCCACGCCTTTGTGCTGCTCCTTGATTGCGGCAAACATGGACAGAATCTCCTCCTCTTTGCTCAAGTCACACTTGAAAGGCACCAAAACACCAGGGTGGCCGGCGCTCTGACACTCTGCTGACAGTTTCTGAGACCAAAAAGCAAAAGATGATACCTTCATAGTCACCATCGCATTCAGATTCTTGTGGTAAAAATACTCTGGTAAAAGTTGAATTATCGATTAAACTCCTTTACTAAGATAAAAGAGAAAAATTCCAGGCTCTGAAATGAATTCAAAGCATAAAAGTAAGAAGATAGGGACATTTCAATTATTTTGCAAAGGAAACATAACCTTGTACAACTTCAACATAATAGCAAAATTAGACATGGGAATGAAAATAATGAATATATGAGTATAGTCAGGGGCTAAAATGGGATTTGCAGATGTGAGAACCGTAGGATCACTGTAGTGGTTATAAGAGTGTGAGGAAATGAATCAAGAGTCACAATAGGCTCTATTGAGAGATCCAGCAGATTTTTTTCTCTACAGGCTGTGATCAGCTGACCTGTGCTGTGGCTGTTGACCTGAGGTTTACTGCTCTTTGTGGATTTACACAACTCATCAGTATGTAAGTAAGTAAAGTAAGTAAGTAAAGTTTATTTATTAAGCGCTTTTCATAGACAGGTAGTCACAAAGCGCTGCACACAGATACGATAAATAGCAAAATGCACAATATACACAATATAGAGTTTAAATGTAAATTAAAAATATAAAAATGTAAAAAGCATTGGTCAACAGAAAGCTTGTTTAAACAGTAAAGTTTTTAACTGTTTTTTTTTTTTTTATGTATGTAAGATATCATATCTGACTTCTGTCTCCTATACTGCCAACATACTGTTTATAATTTTGTTTATTATGCTGCATAGTACACAACTTGTATCTGGTATTGTGCAGCTCATTTTAACCCATGCATATTGACCAATATGTACAGCATAAATGATTTATTGTAAAACAAAAAGTCTGTCGCTTGACAGCCATTATATGATGTCCACTTGACAGAGCTACATAACTGCATATTTGCATAACATTAAAAAGTCCTTTGCATTAGAGTTTTACATTAAGTGTTTCTCTTCTGAAATCAAGTTTGTTATTTCAGAGCAAACCTGTAATTTCCCCACGTCCCTGGCGCAGCCCACCACTTTCATGCCGAGCCAGACCAGCTCTACCGCTACAGCCGCCCCGATCCCGACCGAGGCTCCGGTCACCAGAGCCACTCTGCCCCGCCAGCGCTCCATCACAGACAGTCGTAACCAGCTCACGCACCAAAAGTAGGAAGAGAGGGACGTGCCAAGATAGATACCCCTGACAGAATTAGTTTCCTCTGCGTCGTGAGCGCTCACCAGGTAGGGAGAACGGATCCAGTTGACTCCGCCTCCATTCCAACCAAATTACTTGAAAATAGTAAGTAGTTACTATTACTTCTCCAAGAAGGTTATCCAATTACTTTACTGATTACGTATTTTTAAAAGTAATTATTTCATTTTAAAAACATGATACACAACCTGAATACGTTATAAAGCAATAGACCTTTCAGCCCAATTAGATTTTTTTCTGCATAATCCATCTAAAATTGGATCACTTGAAAAATCCTCTTTTAAAAATTGGTTTTATTATTTTTAATCTTTTAACTTTATGCACATTGAATCAAGCAAAAAGTGACATAGTATGGAACAACCTATGACTTGAAGAAATTTGTGTAACATTTAAACCTATTTTGTGCACATTCAGGCATGTAAAAGAAACAATTTTTTTGGTGTTTATATTGTTTGTCTGTGATTTGGACAACCAAGCCTGTGCTCTCAACGCAGGGGAAACAAATTCTGCCGGGGACAACTACCTTGACATGACTGCCACAATAAAACCTGAAGTGAGTGAGCTAATTAATTTGTAACTTTCTGTATAATATTAAGTATTTGTGACCATTCGGCCTCTGTCAAGGATTTCCTCGCTAAGATTAGAGACAATATGGGAAGAATCAATAATTCCTCAGTCATGCTCTATACAGCAGCAAAGAGACATTTAACTTTCAGGGGGAAATGCTTTTTTAGGATGAGTCCTTCCATTTTGGACAAATGGAAAACTTGTGAAGGTCATCAGCATTTCATAGCTCAACAACCAAGAAGGAAAGAAGGCGTGATTTGGTAATAATTTATACCAGAATTGTGACTCGCAAATTAGGAACTTCTGAGGAAGTTGAATTTTTAATCATGAAAGGTTTTTGTTTTTTTTGTTTTTTGGGGGTTTTTTTGTTAAATAAAAAACTACACCAAACATTGTTATTATATTGGATACAGAAACCCTGTTTTAACAATTAAAACTTTAAACGGCCATTTTTGTGCACCAACTGATAGAAATGAACTTTTACACAGAGTCAGGTTTACAGAGTTATAATGAATGATGAATTGCAACTCACCGGTTTTATAGTAACATATAAACATAAACTGGCTGCCATCCCAGTTTCTTGGTCTCATCTCAGCATGACACAGCAGAAAAAACTTCATTATTATTAATTTTATTATTATTATTATTATTATTATTTGTGGCAGTAGTATTAGTAGCAGCAGTTGGAGTATTTTAAATAGGATTTCTCTTTAAAGAACACGTGTGGATAAAAGAAATATCAAGTTTGTTTGTAGACCAACACACATGCTTTCTCTTCTCTGATTGCCTCTGAAAGAAATAGATGTTGTCAGTGTCATCACAATATGTGCTCAGCGCCTCTCTGCATGTTCAGATTTCTGATTTTATCTTGTTTCATGCTTTTTACTGTGGCTTATTGAACTTTCCCTTTAATTGCATTTTAAACACAAGCAGTTTACTCATAATAAGATAACACTGGTATAAACATGGACATACTGATGTATGGAATTTAAACCATGGCTGGTTTTTAATGAAGAGCACAAAATGTCCCAAGAAAACACACCAATGAAGGTCATCACTATTTTGCATTTCACAGCTCTGCTTTTACAGTGGGATGCAAAGGTTTGGGCAACCTTGTTAATAGTCATTATTTTCCTGTATAAATCGTTGGTTGTTACAGTAAAAAAATGTCAGTTAAATATATCATATAGGAGACACACACAGCGATATTGGAGAAGTGAAATGAAGTTTATTGGATTTAGAGAAAGTGTGCAATAATTGTTTAAACAAAATCAGGCAGGTGCATAAATTTGGGCACTGCTGTCATTTTCTTGATTCCAAAACCTTTAGAACTAATTATTGGAACTCAAATTGGCTTGGTAAGCTCAGTGACCCCTGACCTTCATACACAGGTGAATCCAATAATGAGAAAGAGCATTTAAGGGGGTCAATTGTAAGTTTCCCTCCTCTTTTAATTTTCTCTGAAGAGTAGCAACATGGGGGTCTCAAAACAACTCTCAAATGACCTGAAGACAAAGATTGTTCACCATCATGGTTTAGGGGAAAGATACAGAAAGCTGTCTCACAGATTTAAGCTGTCTGTTTCCACAGTTAGGAACAAACAGAGCCGCTTGGGGTATGCTAAAGCACATTTGGACAAGTCAGCTTCATTGTGGAATAAGGTGCTGTGGACTGATGAAACTAAAATTGAGTTATTTGGGCATAACAAGGGGTGTTATGCATGGAGGAAAAAGAACACGGCATTCCAAGAAAAACACCTGCTACCTACAGTAAAATATGGTGGTGGTTCCATCATGCTGTGGGGCTGTGTAGCCAGTGCAGGGACTGGGAATCTTGTCAAAATTGAGGGACACATGGATTCCACTCAGTATCAGCAGATTCTGGAGACCAATGTCCAGGAATCAGTGACAAAGCTGAAGCTGCGCTGGGTCTGGATCTTTCAACAAGACAACGACCCGAAACACTGCTCAAAATCCACTAAGGCATTCATGCAGAGGAACAAGTACAACGTTCTGGAATGGCCATCTCAGTCCCCAGACCTGAATATTATTGAAAATCTGTGGTGTGAGTTAAAGAGAGCTGTCCTTGCTCAGAAGCCATCAAACCTGAATGAACTAGAGATGTTTTGTAAAGAGGAATGGTCCAAAATACCTTCAACTACAATCCAGACTCTCACTGGAACCTACAGGAAGCGTTTAGAGGCTGTAACTTCTGCAAAAGGCGGATCTACTAAATATCGATTTCATTTCTTCTTTTTTTTTTTTTGTGGTGCCCAAATTTATGCACCTGCCTGATTTTGTTTAAACAATTATTGCACACTTTCTGTAAATCCAGTAAACTTCATTTCACTTCTCAAATGTCACTGTGTGTGTCTCCTATATGATATGTTTAACTGACATTTTTTATTGTAACAACCAACGATTTATACAGGAAAAT